GCTCGTGGTAAAAATGATCTGGTGAATGAATCTGATTCGGCAGCGTTACAGCTGAATTTCAACAAAGCTTAACATTTGAAGGCTGTTTACTGTGCAGCTCCTGTTTATTCAGTTATGATCACTGGTTCACACAGTTGTTATCAACCATGAACAATAACATAGGATCTAATTTCAAGGCCGGCACAACAGCATCAACAGCTCTCCTTCTCCTTCTTCTCTGTGACCGATTGTGACGCTCACCCGCTGAATTAACTAAAGATTTAACATCACTGAATCAGGACTTTCTAGATTAAGTTTGGTTGATTCCTGATTTTAGTAATTACTGATTTAGCTTTAATACTATGCTAACATTTAGCTTATTATATAAAGTTACTTTGCTGTTGTTTGATGGCTGTTAATTATGTCAGCATAAAAGTATACTGCTTAGTGATGCGCTGGGGCCCTCTAGTGGCATGTGCCGTGTATGTCATTGCTCTGCGGGGAAAAATTAAAGGTGTGTAGGTAAACACTAATGTTGATATAAAAGTGATGACAAAAAAACATCTGTATGTCACAACTTAGATCAGTTTTAACTTTTTTTTTGTTAGTTTCACTCACTGTTTTTAAGTGTGACCTTTCAGTATTTTACACTTTAGCCTAACCATGACCTTTTTTAATCTCTTTTCTGACTTTTAGCCGGCAAGAAGGCAATCTCTAACCCCCCCGTCACCCAACACTATATCCTGGGAAGAATACATCACGGCTGACAATGGAAAGTAGGTGTCTGAAGTGTTTAGGAATAAATAAAGCAGGAATAAATAAAGCAGGAATAAAGCACAACCTATGTGAATATTGCCAAATGCAATATAGGTTGACATGTTTTAGTTACTGGAAGAACACTGGTAGTTTTCCATGTCTGCATTAATGAGCTGTGAGCTCTTCCTGACTGAACTGCCTTCATCGTGGGATAAAATTTTCTGTCTCAGAGCTCCTCATCTAGGAAGAGAGCTGGTGTGCAAAGAGAGCAAGAAAAACTTCAAAGCCACAATAGCCATGAGTCAAGACTTCCCTCTGAGCATTGAATCGTAAGTCTTCATTTAAGCTGCCCTCCAGATAGTTATTAAAAAGCAGGCAGGATCATTTTCTATTGGTATTTTCAGGCTTGTTTAGTGGGGATAAAGGGGGAAATTATTCATTCATTGAGACCTAAATGCTTTAGTAAAATAGACTTTGTTTTTGTTTGTTGATTTGGGTTCTCGTGTCCCTCAGGTTACTGAATGTTCTGGAAGTGATTGCACCCTTCAAGCACTTTAATAAACTCAGGGAGTTTGTTCAGATGAAGCTCCCCCCTGGCTTTCCCGTCAAGCTCGGTAAGCAGAGTTTTATATGGTGTTGTAAACAGTAGTCTGCTGATTGATGTTCATGACTTTTTCGTGTGATGTGTTCTTCATGTCATCCATATAATTGTGCTCTCGGCTCCCCGCAGACATCCCCGTGTTTCCTACGATCACGGCCACGGTGACGTTTCAGGAGTTTCGCTACGATGAGTTTGATGAATCCATTTTTAGCATTCCCAATGATTATAAAGAAGACCCTAGCCGCTTCCCCGACCTTTAACCTCACACACTGGACACTGAACCGCAAACAAGCAACGAGGCAACATTATGCTACAGAGGGTACTTTTTGAATTTAAGAAACAAAACAAAAAACATGAGGAATAAAAACTGTGTTTTGCGACTACCCCTCGCCCGCCCCGACTCTGAATACAGACGGCGACCAGACAGCCTAACACACCTAAATTTAAATCGGAGGTAGCGGGTTGTTCGACATCTCCTCGTGTCGCAGGTTTGAACTTTACCTTTTAGATTTGATTCGATGCAGCGTCCGAGGCAGGAAGCGCAGGTGACTGTGAGAATCTCATCAGTGAAGGGGCATTGGAGTTAATATGAGAAACAACACAGCAGGTGAATTTTCTGTATATTCAGTACGAGTACGAAAAACAGCAGCTCAGCTGATGCTTTGTATTTAAGTATGTAAGTAATGTTCATAAAGGGACTGTTTTAAACTGATGTGTAGTTAAAGCACTGAGTGACTGTGAGAGACGCTGGAGAGGAATTCCACTTGAAATTGATTTTGAGATCAATTTTTCATTTTTCAAAACACTCGTGAAAAATCATCAGCCTTTTTTTTTTATTTTATGATCTTACATTTATTAAATTACATATAATAATTTATGTCCTAATCTATGTTACAGGCCTGTGTAAGAACTCTATTAAAGAACACACTAGACTATTCCTATTTAATGATTAAGGATGAAATGTGAATGTCCAAAGGGGTTGAATTATTACTAAACTTTAAAAAAAAAAAAAAAAAAGGATTATAGCGGCCATGTTAAGTAAACAAGAAAGTGAAAGGTCTGTTATTTTAATTTGGATGCAAGTTTGAAATGCCAAGAATAAGCTTGACATTTGACTCAACGATATTCTTGGGATGTGAGGTTAATTTAATTAGTTTTTTCTTAAGGTGGCCTTTATAATCCTTTGAGAAGTTTGTTTTGTATAAGGCTGAGTACTTTTTGTAGATAAAAGTCCTTAAAAAATCAGTTTTCCGTAGAATTCCACTTTAACTGTGCACATTTTTAACGTGTGAGTGTGTGTGTGTGTGTGTGTGATGATTTTTACTGGCACAGAGTCAGTGAATATTCGAGGCACTATTTGGATCCACTACACCTACTCGCCTTCCAGCTGACTTCTTAGACTCATGTTGTGAAGCTGAATCTTTAAACCTGCATTTGAAATATTAACTTTTAATGGCGGCAGTGGTAGCGATGCTGCAGATTTTAATGGTACTGCGAAGTCTGAGCGACAGGGCAGTGTAAGTTAGGCTAACCCAGCCTTTTGTTTTTACTTCATCAGATTGTTTTGTTGTTCTTTTTTTTAACTGTGTAACCAACCGTACAGTTGTGCTAAAAGAGGAACTCTGGGGATTGTACAGTGAGCAGGTGTCTGGGAATCAGTAAGTACAGCATTCATGCCCTTTTTTTCTTCTTCTTACACTTAACAAAAATCAGGCCTTTACATCGCACACTATATAAATACATGTTCAGTTATTGATTTGTCTTTTACTTTCTTTTTTTATTCCTACGTGTTTATGGGTTTCAGACATCCTCTGCAAAAAGAAGAGTTGTGTAATGTTTTTTATTTTTATGCATCATGTGACATAATTTGAGACTGTTGGTTTGTAAATGGTGGGAGTTGCTTTTTTTTGTACATACTTATGTTGCTTTAACAAGAAAAAAAAGAATCTCTTAATTGTTTTGTTGGATTTTTTTCTTTCTACTCCCTGGAGATGTGTGGAACCAATAACCTGTCAGCTGTGTGAAAAAGCTCAAAATCAGTCGGAAGGAAGGAAGGAAGGGAGGGAGGGAGGGAGGGAGGGAGGGAGGGAGAGAGAGAGGGAGGGAGGGTTTAACTCTAAGGAGTCCTCGTAGGTGCTGCTATGGTTCATGAGCTCTTAATGTTGATACAGACAGCTTTCTGTGGGATGTTGCTATTGTACTGGTGGCTCAGAGTTGTTCAGCATCCTAATCATTGAAACACCGTGCTTACATATGCATATTTAGTATGATAACCAAATGCAGTTTGACTTTTCACATTCCATAGTACAGGCAGGCGCAGCTAGTGGAAGTGTGCCTCTTCACTGACATAATGCTTTACATTTATTTGATGCTCCTTCCCGAATTCAGCTGATTGGATTTGACATGTTTTCTGTAGGAAATGATTCATCCATGTCTAAATGTCAGTTGTACAGCAAAAACTGTTGTATAAGTCTGCGACACTATTTTCATATAAAATGTACCGAAATAAAAAGCCACATATCTAATAATGTTTGCACTCGTGTTTTTTCTAACTTGGTCATATTAAAACATGCGTGGCACGGATACGACACCTCATCTGGGTATCCTTTGATTCTGAGCTCGTTCTGGGGCATCCTACACTTCCTCTTCTTTTTTTCTTTTTTAACCTTTGTGGGTTTATAAGTCTTTATTTTGCGTTTTACTGGACAATGGGACAAGACATGGTTGTCAAATAGTCAATATTTCAGTTTTTGTTCAACTAAAACGGAGCTGCGATAGGAAGTTTGGTTTATAGCTTGACTGGGCAGAAAAGAGAATCCGCAGCAGCCTTTCAGAATATTTTTGTTCACGTGGTTTCTGAAACAAAGCAGGACAAAAAAGAGAAAAAGTTGACATATAAAGTAAAACATGACCTGTCCTGTACCCTTAATGGTGAGTGTTGACACCTCAGTACATATCGATAAAGATGTGGTTTGATGACCATTGGAACAGTTACCAGGTTTTTCCAAGGGTAGCTGCATAGGCAGAGACCATCCTCACTCATTTTTGATGCACATTCAGTTATTTTGTTCTATACGCAGCCTAAAACAGTCAGACACCCACCAGTTCAGGGAAAAAAAGCTTTAAGGGTTACTCTGTTTCAAGAGTTTAAGAATTAAATTACTTTTGACAAACAAGCACTTGCACCTGAGGTGGGAGGGGCTTATAAAGAATATGTGCAGGAGGAAGGCTTTATCTACAAATATGAATTGTGGCACCCCCACCCTCTGTACAGTTCTAACTACTGCAACGTAAGTGGTTGAGAGAAATAAAATATATTTATTACTGGCTGGCTCATGACTTCTCCACACAACTGCATGCATGCCTCTAATTTAGTACTTTTCTTTCATTAAATAAGGATGCGTCTCTGCAAACCTATTCACACACAATGCACTGAGCTGTTTAATTCTCAGGCAAAGTCACTGTACATGGCAACAGTAAGCATGTATAGTTTATCCCTCAGGTTTCAGTGGAAAGAAACTCCATGAATGTAGAGATTAGGACTGAACCATAACGTGACAACACCTGAGTGAAGGTTAACAGTTGCCAGGCACCCAGAACATAACCACAGAATAAATCCCATCGTAGCAATTATTTTTCAAAATAAGGACCCTTGTGGCGCAACTTGACAGTTTACCCCAATTTTATTTGTGTCCTTTGGAAATTCTATTGCAGACAACATATTTCATTGTCACAACACATTTCAATCTACAATGTACAATAATAAAGGGTTGTAAATAGGTCAGTAGAGATGAAACACAGCTGGGTGTGTTACACAGTTAAAGCAAAACGGTTCGTTTGGAAAAAATAAAACGGTGAGTGGCAAACAACGAGCAGTGTGAATGAGGACAAAGTCCTGACCAGTAAAATATTTACAGATGCTGCGTTTTTAGAGGAAAACGCTGCGTATTCTACTGTCAGAAAGACAAACTCCAATAACAAAATCTTTAAAAAGTACAGCAATGACAATTTAAAACCAGGTTTCATGTTCTTCATATTTTAGTAATTGTTTCTTATATCTTTACAAAAGTTCTGCCTCCCCTCCGTACACCCCACTGCCTGCCCTCCTTTGCAGTGTTTCTACAGTTAAGACAAAATCTGTTTAACTTTGAGCGATCAGGCACAGACATATCGTGGCCTATATTAAAAATATAAAAAGGACAGTGAAAAGACGATGCTATCTGGTTTGGACGTTTTTAGTCGCTCATCTCCATGTCTTCCTGGTGGTGATCATCTCCATTCAGTTTGGACTTTTTGGGGATTTGGCCCTCAGATCTCTCCATCTCCTCCTGGCTTTTCGGGGACGAGATGGAGTCAGAGTCGCTCTTCCTCTCGTCCTCCTCCTCCTCTCCTTTTTCGCTGTCATAACCCTGCTCCTCCTCATCGTAGTCCCGAGTCACCTGTGCCGCATTTAATCACGTTAATGACGAGCAGAGTAATGCATCCAGCCACCTGTCGCTAAACAGTGCCTGCTCTACATACCTTAACATCTCCTTTCTCGCTGTCGGACTTGCGGTCCCGATCTCGTTCTTTGTCTTTGCTCTTTTTTTTCTTACTGTTGGAGCGTTCGCGTTCGTCTCTGCTGCGGTCCCTGTCCTCCCTTCTGTCTCGGTCCCTTTCCTTCTCACGGTCCTTGTCCTTCTTTTTTTCTTTCTTGTGGCTGTAAAGAGAACAAAACTAATTTTAAACTGTGGCACTCAAAATTAAATAAACTTCATTGTACATCAGATGGAGAAAGCTCACCGTCTGGGGGACGGAGACCTGGAGACCCTTCTCTTAGGGGAGCGAGAAGCACTGCGACTTCGCCTGTGTCTCCTGAGACACACAAAGGAGTAAAATAAGTAACATTCATAAAAACATCCTCATCATTTATTCAGGACTTACTTGATTTTCTGCTGTCTATAGAAGAGTTAGAGCTTCTGGTCTTTCACACTGTAAATTGGCTGACCTGCATTTCATCATATTATCACACCGTATTCAAGACTACTCACCGATTAATGCTCCGAGACCTCCTGGCGCTGCTGTAGCTTTTGGGGGGAGTCTTGGATCTTTTCTTGGACTTCTCCTCCTTCCTCCTGTCTCTGTACGAGATGAAAGCAAACAAAAACATTACCAAACATTTTCATGCCTGAAAAGTCTCAAAACCTGGAGCTGCCCACTGCCAACATTAAAAAACAAAGCTCAAAAATATTTTCGACAAATTTCAATTTTGAAATGATCAACCTCTGGTCTCCAAGCACACTTTGAAATGAAACACAGGAGCCATTTTGCTCCTCAGGATAACAGCTGACCTAGATCTACTGCGACGGCTTCGATCCCGGGAGTAGGACCTCCTCCTCCGTGGGCTCTTGGACCTCCTCCTGCTCCTTGAATGAGACCTACGCCGAGATCTGCTCTTCGAACGTCTGCTCAAAATAAGCAGCAGCACATTTACAAACAATTAATATTCAAAAATATACTTATTAAGAAACTAGAATGGCTTCACCCGACATTGCCGTAGACTCATCTTTACCTGTGTCTTGAACGAGATCTGGTTCGTCTACGCCGTGAACGCGAACGGGAGCGGGAATGTTTGCGCTTGTCATCTTTCTTACCTGTAACAGTAAAGACAAAGTTATACATGTATTATACATTTACTTACTGCTCTCTAAACATCAATAAACAGGTAAACTGAGAAGTAATTTCCGATAACACGTAATCTATATGAAGCAAGTATTTCTGGTACAGTTATATTTGAAGCGTGCTTTGAAACCGCACTCACTTCCTGGTTCAATAGCTGCAGAAATAAGAGACTGGGCCTCTCGGACTCTCTTCATGGCCTCTTCAATCTCCTTATTCGATGCATCAGCCTTCAGCCCTGGACTCAAGTTCAATCCAGCTGCAAGGTTCAATCTGCAAATGGTATCAATTATTTAGACACTGCTCAAATAAATATGTATGCTGACTGGACTGCACAACCCGTCTGTGTCTGCACTTTTCTTACTTGGGATCCATGGATTGCATGAGCTTCAGGAAATCTGCGGAAAGAGCCTGGAAAGAAAGGAAGACAAGGATATTACTATGATTTTAAGAACTAAGAACTTTTTCTTGAACTTAAACGGCGCTATGAAGGTAACTGATCCTCACCTGGGGGTTCATGTTCGGTCCGGGCATTCCCATAGCAGCCATCTGCTCAATGCTAGGAGCTCCAAGACCGCCAAATGGTGTCGCTCCCATCTGAAATGTGGAGCATAGACACTAGAATATATTGTAGAGGTAAAAAGCATAGCACGCTTTATTTATGTAACGTTTTGGAGGGGGGATTTTTTTTTAATAGGATACTTTCAGATGTACTGTTTTTATTATTTTCAGAGAATTGTGCTTTAGAAAGAAGAGGGGTGCTTGCAAATGGGCCTAAGGCTTTGTGATGGATCAGAGGAAAGTGTGTTCAGCAGGCTCCAAGCACCTGCTAGTCAAAATCTGTGGTCCAGTAGCTAAATCTGATCAAATAGTAGCATTGCTAACTCTGAACCACCAGCAGCTTGCTTAGTTTGAATGAATTACTGTGCTTTTAGACATAAATGTTACCAAATATCCCCACCAAGACGAAAAAAAAAAAGCCTGCTGTGTGTTTGTTTATTGCAATAAGGGAGATTCATGCCCATTTCCAAGTTAAATTTTGATTGATGGCTGCAGAGAAGGTAGGAGCAGTTTTAGAAAATCATCAACATCTAAAATATCTCTTTTTCCCCTGATCAAATAACAGTTAAATATTATTGTATGATATGTTATGTGAAAATGTAAAAACTCACAGATGCCAGAGGATTCGGTGTCGGAAGAAGGCCTCCACCGGGCATCATTCCTGCCACAGCATTGGCTGGAGCCAACAGCGACATAGCTTTAGATTCATCGGGAATGACTCCTGGAGGAAAAACCAAGAACATCTCAGTACATCTTCAAAGACGACGTCGACAACACTCAGACAAGACTTGCAGACAAGCCACCTCAGTCTAACTACACTGTAGTAAAAGAATGAAAAACAAAAATCCACTTTTTTGTCTTGTCTGTAAATCTTGATCCCTGACTTTTGTTGTTGTTGTTGCTGTTTTGCTTTGTTGTGAATATGATTGTAGGATTAGCAGCTATAAGTTTCAAAGTCACAATACACACTGTGGTCAACACTGCCAAGATTTTATCACCTGTACTTGTTTTTTAAGTCATGAACCAAACGTAAGCAAGCACAGCCAGTTGTCCCGTGGGATGTGCTCTCAACTTTCATTAGATGTTTTATGAACAAGCGACTCGCGCCGGCTGCTTCGCTATAAAGCACACAAAAACATTGAGATACAGAAAACAAAGTTCATGATTTGGGTGTAGACACAAGGGTACATTTCAACATCACTTACCATTACCAATACAAAAAACAGAAAAGGCTTACTCATTTGACCTTTTCTAGCCTTTTTCTGGTGGGTTCTCTCTCTTTTTGTTTTTTTTTGTACAACCCCACCACAAAGAACACTTAACAACCAGGTAAAGTACTGCTAATCAAATACAGTACTGACAGGTTTTAGCCAACAGTATGTCAAAAAAATATAGTAAATAAACAATAATCTACACTGAACAATTACAGGCTATTGGCAGCAAAGGTAGTGATAAGAAAAATATTCCCAAAGCTGAAGAGAACCAAACGGTAAAAATGACAGAAAAAAAAATGTCATGAGATGATCATCCATGGCTGTGCAATCTGAAAACAGGCTATTTTTTAATCTGACATGTTTCTTTACATTATGAAGGGAGGAGAGAGGGAGGGAGGGAGAGAGGGAGAGAGAGAGAGAGAGAGAGAGGGGGGAGACATGCACCCACGCACACCCACGCACACAACAGAAAGGACACTTGAGAAACAGGATAAGGCTGCAGAAGACAAAACTGTTGGTGGCATTTTCAGCGGGGCCTGGTAAATAGGGCTGGCTGAACCAGGAAAAAGAACTGTAAAACACAACAACAAAAGAAACACCACTGTTAAACTTGAGATTCACTCAACTCGTTCAGAGTCATGTTTGGAGAGGGTCAATTTAAAAAATTAAGTTAATAAAAATGCATTTTTACGGCAACATCAAGAGGCTTAAAACCATAATTATCTCTTGTGTTAGTGAAAGTTTTGGAATGCAAATTTACAGTATAATAATAATATAGTAATAACAGTAATACAAGGCTTTGGGAAATAAAGCAAGTAAATGCCGAGGGCAGTTTCTGCGCTTATTATGACCAAAAGCCAAATCAGAATTAACTGCCACAACACCCGCTGGCCAAAACTCAGATGATGGCAAACACCTTCAAAAATCTAGTCTAGCATGCACAGCTGATTAGTTCTTCTATTTGGCATGCTTTGTGCTGGTGTAGGGATGTCCCGAACATTTTCTCTTCTTTTATTGGTTTAAAGTCTGATTAGTGTTAACAAAAGGAAACGGACCCAAATCTTGATCCAGTATTCATATTTTCCCCTCTAATGTAGCTGTGTGATACGTTTCCAGCTAAAGAAATTGACATTTAAAAAAAGAAAAAAAAAAGTCAGTTCAGTTTGGATACTTGTGTGCGTGTTTGAAGGGGATGGATTCAACATCCACACAGGTGTTTTCTCTTATTAGGCTGATCAGACCAGTTTTCAGGAGCTTCCCCCTAACTCTTTTCCTGGTTTTCTTGCACCTACTGGACTAGAGTTTGCGATCCAACCATCACAGCCCAACCCAAGCCGATCCTAAAAACATGATCAAATCAACCAATAACCGAAACACCTATGTGTATGTGCAGAGCATTTACTGCTATGTCACTGTGGATCTGATGGCTTTCACAGTATCTAAGACAACATTAAAACACATTGCTGCCGAATTTCAATTCGCAGAAGGTTAAAATATAAACAGAGGATCAGAAATGGTTCCGATATGTTTGGATTGCCTTGACACTATTCTACTTGCTCGGGGTATCCCTTATTTGGTGAATGCCTACTACATGACACACATTGTATCTGAGAATATAAAAAATCCTTTCAACATGTGAGGACATTAGATTTCCCTGCACCCTCCCAAATCCCCTAATTTGATTAAGCAGTTGTGAGGCTATTTTTTATTTTTATTTTTTCAAAAAAAGATGCCTTGAACAGAGAGGAAAAAAAGTTAATATTTTACTGCAGAACAAGAGAGAGAAGGGGCTTGCGATTGGTGCCATTATTTTTTCTAATCTCCTGATGGCATCAGAGGACCACTTTCAGCCAGCAAGGAAGGGGCTCTCTGCAAATGACTTGTCCACTATGAAAACCACAACACAAATAACAGAGAGAGAAGTTTACAGCTAGATTGTAAGACACAGACACAAATGTACATTTCCCTTTTACATACCTAGAAATGCCAAGCACTGAAAAGCTTAGCTGCTTTCTCATGGCAGTAGGAAAAACAGAAACCTCAATGTCTCTAGTGTTTGCAAGTCTAACAAATACACCTACGCATTATGACGTACGTTCAGAGATGACCACAGCCAAAGGAATAAAACAGATACCCACCTTCAGCGAAAGGGACCACGATCAAGGCTCTGTCCACGAAGACTGTGTTCGTCAGGTGTTGGGAAACTCCCACAGACTCAGCCTCAAGGAATTTTACAAAACAGACACGTGAAGTCACAGGCAAGGGAGAGTCACTGGAAGAAAATACAGATAGGTTGTGCAAAGAATACAAACAAGGGGAGACAACATGCCTTCTTCATACTCAGTCTGTGTCCACAGGGACAAGAAAGCACAGGAGTGACTCTTGTTCCCTGCATCCTCTGCATAGTACAACACAGTATCATCCAGAGGTGACACACAACCTTTTTCTTCAGCCATTTCTGATCCTGTTGCACTCCTTAGCACCACAGTATGAGGATAAAACTCAATACTGGTATAAAACTGGCGGCGATCAAACTTTCAAACAGTTACTAAATTGTTACAACTACATCTACCCGGAAAATCACCACCTTGATTATTTCATACCTGTCCAGTAGCCACGTGTAATTCAACAGAGAAAACACAACACAGAGAGAATTAAGGTAAGAAAACACTGTGCAGTGTGTACTGTAGCTCATTATTGTCCACTGTGGATCTAAACAAAGCATGCACCTAAGGAAATATTCCAATTTAGCTCAACCAGGCGTGTAACCAAATGTCCCACTGCTCATTAAGAGTCATAATTAGTTGTTCTTTTGCACTGTTGCTGGTTTAGGATGCTAATCAACTGCTCATTTTATACGAAAAGCTGCCACATAAGTCCCACTTGAAATCAAAATAATTAGGAGCAACTCTGGTGATTATTAAAATTAAGCCATTCATGCTTATTTCTCCCGTGTATATTTTTATGACTTTGTTTTCTGACGGAGAGATTACAGATAACTCGATAAACAGGATGTATAGCTGCCTACCGTGTATGTGTTAGATAACCGACTTACACAAACGATTACCAATTTTTTGATTGCTTAATCGACAAATGTGATAATCGGCAGATGCGTATGGATGAAGAATTGAAGTATTGTTAAATACATGCATATCTAATTTGAGAGAAGCAAGCGTTGCCACGTTCAATAAAGACGCGGGAGCATTAGCATTAGCACTACCGTGCAGCGAGGCCTGCTCGATGCTGTAGGCCTCAGCAAGAGCCCCGCGTGAGCCGCCATAGATTGTGGAGGAGAGGATAATTTACCAGTTCATAATTCACAATACTCACTCGGGCGGGAACAGTTTGAGCTCCTCTATGGTTCCGAGGAATCCAAACAGAGTCCTCATTTGTTCGGACGTCGTACTCGGTGAAACGTTTGTCACCTGGATTACGTGCGTGTTGGAATTCATTTTCGCGAGTGCTATAGTCGAGCTAGCTATATGCTAGCAGCGTCCCCGAATCTTAAACAGAAAAGACAAAAACTGTAAACGTTCACAACTACAAAAACATCAGGCGACCACAAAAGTTAGCATCTTCCCCAAAGATAGATGGTGGCTGGTTTTTTTTGTTTTGTTTTGTTTTTTTCCTCCGGACAGCCCTACAACAGTGAGCACAGAACAACAATGCCACTGCCCAAACTGTCGTGAGGTTGCTTTGGATACTTCAGGTACTGTTTGTAGAATCGTACTTAAGAATTTTTCCTCCATATACAGTCGTCACAGGGTCAAAAATATATGCCGTACGTTTGATCTTTTCAAGAGATGGAGTAAAATTATATTGATCATAGTGGACTGCACTGTGTTACTAATAAAATCCTGGCACTTTGGTTTTGAAGGTGGAATCTAAGGTAGTGCACACAAATGTATTGATGCCTATCTCGAAATTAAACATTTTGAGGTAATTCTCAAAGTCTGTTGTGTTTTAATGTGATATATAAATAAACTTGACTAATGTTCTGTAAAATAAACGAAATAGTGTTTCATAAAGCTGAAACGAGAAATGCACTGGAGAGTAAATAGCTCTATTTTTTCCTACACCACTAAAAGGCAACACGAGTCGGAATACGGCTGAAACCAGGTGGGTGTGTTTAAGGTTGTGTCACATGATTCTGTTGCTAGGCTGTTAGCTGGTGGCTTCTCCATCTGATGTTAGTGCAGTCTATTACCTCCTTACCCTAAACTATGCTATTATACACAAATCGTTTTCAGGCGACAGCGATTTGCGCATATACAGCGAAAATTTTAACAAGCAAGCCCTGATTAATTCTTTTGATATGTGTGCTGAAAAATCATCGCTGTAGTGGCTACTCAACGACCCACATCTAGGCACGTTGCTGGCTAGCTTAGCACCCGTTTTAGGCGGGATGTCAACAGGTTTCCGTAGTGTTAGTCTTAGTTTTATCTTTCAAAACGTGAGGAGGCAATTTAGTAAATGAGACAGAAGCTGCCACTTAAACCGAGGAGATCTCAGGACAGCTTACTCCCTGGATAAGCTGATATGGTTGAACCACAGAGATCAAGAACATGAGACAGGCAAGTGGATGCACTTCTGTGTTTTATTTTGTATCATTGGAGTTAGAGTTGGTGTTTACATTGAATATAATCACTGTTTGCCCAACAACAATATTTAATTTGATTTATTTCTTTATGTAATGCACTGATCCAAAGAATAACATGTTAAAATCAAGACACTCGCATAGATGAGCACAGAATTACTAGCCCCTGTATGAAAGATTTTGCCTTTTTAAGTATTTCCTAAGTGCTGTTAAACAGGACAAGGAATGTTTAGCAGATTTTCCAAGCATCCTAGTTTTATTTGGGATGTCTACATGATCTTATTTTAACAAACAACTACCGGGGTCAAAATTAATAGCTCCTTTGATGATAATAGTCTTTTTTTTGGTGGTAATAGTGTGTTGTAGTTTTCAACAATCCCAGCCTATTCTTCTCTTTGGTGAGTTTCTAGATTTTGATGGTCTTTTGGCATGGACTTTGGTCTTCAGTTCAACCCACAGGCTTTGTGCAGACCAGCCTGTAATGTTTACTTCGGTGCTCTAGTTTCTTCTCATCTGACACGCTTCTACTATGCATAATCTTTCTTCGGGTTATTCTTAGTACACTTCAGTCTGTCTTAAGGATATCTGTTCATCCGAAGTCAAGTTTTTCTTAATCTTCAACCATGCAGTCCAATTCCTTTGCAGGGTTCTGCTGATTTTCTTCTTTGAGAATACAATTCCCAACTTGGCTAAGTCATTCACTCGTGCCTTGGCAGTTGTTCTGGGGTCTTTAGACACATCTCTCACTTGTTCTCTTTCCAGAGTCTTTGAAACCTTTCACAGGCTGCCAGGCTTGTTCTGTACTCCGTGACTCTCTTTGAATTTTTTGATGCAACTTCTCACTTTTCTGTTTCTTCGCAGTTGAAAACACTGTGATAACTTTGTGTATCCATCTCCTGCTTTGTGGGCATAAACAATTCTTTTTCTAAATTATAAACTGATTTTGTTTGTTTTTGGCGTGATGCTTTCTCAACTGACAGCACTGTTGTGTCACATTGAAAGACAAGCCTCAGTTTGAGCATTACAAAGTTAAAGCACAGCAGTGGTTTGTGGTATGGTCAGTTTTTCAGGGGGCTAATATTATTGAAATATAATAATGCCGCCCAACACGACTCTACTCTGGATTTTGCTGCATATCCCAGGATTGGAATAGCAGTGCTCAAGCGCCTTGAGGCGACTGTTGTTGTGATTTGGTGCTATATAATTAAAAATTGAATTAAATTAAAAGGAAAAACATTCAAAGATGAATTTATAAGACCATGGAAATAAGATCTTTTAATGGCTTAGCCAGAATAGATCATCAATCATAATGTTTCACTTAGATTTGGCTGATAGGTGATATTTAGTTTCATGGTCCACGCCAAAGCTTAAAACTAAAGCAGATGTTTGTTTTTGTTACTCTTGCAGGAGAATGTGGAAAATCTATGAAATCAAAGATCATGAAATGGTGAAAATCTTCCCACTCACGCTCCCGTTCTCATGACGCCAGCAGGGAGGTATGGGCTTCTTAAGGGTAGTAGCCAGAATCATGGGTAGGATCAGTACATTCAGGTCCTATCAGCTGGTGCTTCTCCTGGCTGCTGCACTCGCTGTTGTAGCTTTTTACTACTTTGGCTCAGAGAGACAGAATTTCTCCAGCACCACAAAGAGGATCAAGCAGACCCAGGCCAGTCACAACACCAACAGAAACGATGCAGACCTCACCGTGGACACCAGGCTCTCGCACCCGGACGAGCCAAAGGAGCAAGGATGGGAAGAGCGAGGTGTAGAAGAAGACGGCGACGCTTTGACATCCAGGAAAGCGGACAGTGAGGCTGGTTACCAACATTACCACGTGCTAATGATGTTCACCAAAGTGGACAAGAGCCGGAGCTTGCAGGATAAATTCCGAGTGGCCATGCTGTCCATGGTAAAACACGGACACTTCTTGGAAGGAGAGGTGTTGGTTCTCCACTTTGTGAGTGACCAGGCCAGCCAAGAACTGGGCAAGAGGATGCTGCTGGAGCTTTTCCTTGACACAACGTTTAAATACGAGGTATTTCTCGACACTCACTCCAGTAAATGCCGTTAACTTATTTATTAGTGTTTCTGACCAAGTATCTATTTATTTTGACATATTAGTTTGTTAATAACAAAACAAAGGAGTAAGTGATTTATGCAGTTAAACACTTGACAGACTGTGTTCAGCTTGATTTATATTTCTAAGATATCTCTATTTCTAATAGGGAGGGAAAAATATGTTTATGTAAATTCTTCTTGTGGGTAGCAGATCCTATTTTTAGAGCCCAAAATGCTCATGATCCACACACACTTTCTGGGATGGTATTTATATTTTTGCACTGAATGAGTGAGAAGGATTTTTTTTTTTTTTAAAGGGAGCTTCTGATAGAAATGTCTAACTTTTGCAACACCTTGACTAATCACTGAATAGAGCTGGTGCGCTTTTTCCTTTGATAAGTACTTCCTGTGAAGCTACTTGACCTTTTAATCAAAAATCCTTCCGTTTAAGAAACACATTGGCTGTACTTGCTATTTACAGTTGAAACACAGGGGGGCAGTGTTTTCCTGCCAAGCTGATGCCTCACACATGGGAATATCCCTCCCTTATTGTGTTCTTCCTGCCAAAAAACAGGATTATTTCCCCCCTCTTGTGCTCTTTCTGTTACATGCATATTTTACCCACTTTCTCCTGTTTTGTATTTCTCACAGAACACACCATCATAAACTGGCTTACAAACTACAATCTCCCCTTTCAGATCTTCGTCGACAGGCAAGGCCTCCTTTCTCAGGAATGTCTCATCTTATAAAACCTCTGCTGTGGATGTTCCACTGCTCTTTTATCTTAGGCTGATCGCATTCCTGCTGGGATTGGTCAGGGATCTGCTCGGCTTGGGATCTTGGCAGTTTAGTGGCTGCAGGTTGGATCGGATCCCGTTCAGATGATTCTTTTGCAATCAGACCTTACTCAGACTTTTCTAGTGGACAAGTTTTACTATGCAGAGCTAAGTCCTCAGAGGACTGCTGCATGGATATTAGAAAAATGTTGTGTCAAAAACCCATTTTTGGTTATATTTGCTTAAAGCATTAGCAGGGACTTGGTCAGACAAGAGTTCCTCTGTGTTGGTGCGGAAATACTAAACCTGACTTGTGGGTATTTTCTTTTCCTTTTGCATTTACTATTTCTGTCACAATTCTATGTCCTTCTTACTGTACAGATCCAGTTTTGTGCAAAAGTCTTGAGCCACCACTCATATCTTTATATTTGGGTAGGAAAGTGGGTGCACGGATTCATTGAAACATGTGCAAACACACGTGGAAGTACAGCATAGAAGGGGAAAAACAATTCTAATGAGCTTCAAAGTCAGTATTTGTTCAATCTTCAAAGCAGCCTGAAATCACTTGGGTGAGTTGTCTGCCCATTTCTGTAAGTAGACTTCAGGCTTCTAAAGGACATTCAGAGTTCTTCTTTGTTCTGCTCCCTGTCAAAATGACCCCGCACTGCTTCAATAATGTTAAGGTCTGTGCTCTGCGGAGGCCAATCGATGACTGATGTGTTTTTCTCTCCATGTTTGCTTTTATTACATTAGCATTGTGTTGGGGATCGTTGTCACGCTGAAAACTGAAGTTGCCAATCTGAGACTTCACAGATGATTTTGAATGGTGGAGCAAAGTCTGACTGCACTTTTCTGCATTCACGATTCCATCACTTTTTGACAAGATCCCCAAAACCTTCGCTTGAAATGCAGCTCCACTGTTGTACCTCTCTCCTGACCTCCTGGTTTTCAGTCCAGTTCTTGTGTAATTTGACGTATTTCAGCCTTTTCCTCCTGTTCCTTTCATTACAGCCACCCTTCCACTGAGACTGTTTGTGATCAGGCTTTAGTAAACAGTAGATGGATCGACTAAGCACCAGATCCATCTCTCAGGTCCTGTTTCAGGTCTTTTCTGCTTTGTTTTTTTCCCTTTTAGACATGACTTTCAGATACTGTTCATCTGCTGTGCACAGATTTTCAGGCCAGCCACCTCTTCCCCAAATCTGCAATTATCTCAAACATCTCTGGCTTGCCACGTATGCTTCATGCTCCTCTCTCCCCTGGTTTCCTCTCAGTATGCTCTCACGTGAAGACGTTTCTGTACTTTCTGTACTGCAGTGCCCTCTCACCTTTAGTCTGATGTAAACACATCTTGACAGTGCTTTATGTTGTTGTTGTTGTTGTTTTTTTAATCTAAGCTACACGCTCCATACATTCAAAGTCGTTTTTTTTCCTCATCAGTCTCATAATATCATTCCAGACCAGCGATTTAAAAAAACAAAAAAAAAAAACATGTTTCTAGATCATGAATCATAAAACTGCCTTCTGCCGTCACCGCCGCGAGTACAGCCGCTGTCTCTCCTGCTTAGAGACAGCGGCAGAAACGTATACCAGCAGTTTAGATGGGACAGAGACTCCTCGGGGTCTGACAAGGGCAGTGTTGACATCCTTGTCTGCTCATCTTGAGGCTCATTCCTGTTAATGATTTAACTTTAAGGAGCACGAGGATTAGATGAGTATGTATTTTAGGCTACATTGCTTCCCAGCAGCAGCACATTAAATGGCCCACTTGACATTTGCAGCAGAGAGACTGCAGAGTCACGCTGCCTAGAGGTTACGCACTTTACTCCCTAACCATATTTCATGGAACTCACTTGAGCAGTGTCTCATGCAGTGCTAACAGCTCACGGGAATTAAGCAGTGTTGTGATATAATTCCTGGGTTAATATCTGCATCCTAATGGCAGTGTTTTTGTGTCAGAGCCATTGTACAATGTGTTAGTATTCTGCAGCTGATAAGAGGACATAAAAGGCAATAACAAGTCGCTCAGGAGAATCTAGGAAACACAAGATCAACTCATAACATGGATTTAATAAAACTCAAGAAGGCTTTTTAAGGTCACTGATTTCTATTTATCCTGTAAAGTTCAGGTTCAAGGACGAGGTTAATGTCTCATATTCCTGAAGTTAATGTCATACTGACAGAGACTTTTGTGTCCACATTATTAAATCCACTTTGTAAGCATCCATCCTCCATGTTTATGTTACATATGTTCATCATTTCTCTAGCTTTTCATTCAAAAACATGTTATTGCTCATTAAGTAAGCGCAAAGTCCGAATCATTTCAAGCTCTGTGCTCTCTGAAGGGAGCGCTGCTCAAGTCAGGCCACAGAAGTCAAAAAAGGAACTTTTGCTCAGTCCTGGCACGCCTTCAAAAGCAACACGGCGGCTGCCAAACATGTCCAGCCTTTCAAGTTCACTGCTAATATTACTCGATCAACTGATATTTTAAAACATCAGAGCTCGAATGATGTGCTCGAGTTTCTCTGCTTGGTTTTTGTCGGTCAAACAAAAGTGAAAACTCTCTGGCTTTCCATTTATGTGCCACAGGTAAGAGTTTATGAGTCCGAGTGTCAGAATAAACATGCACAACAGTGTGAAGTTTTGGGGCTTTGAAAGTTGGAACTGGGTGTGTTGCAAAAATAACTACTGTTCATTAAACCAGGACACAGTATTTTAGTACTTTCACAGAAGCCTGCACTGGGAATTGATAAGGTTTCTCTGTACCAATATAGGTTACCTGGGACGTTTTATGACCTTTTTCTTTCCTTTTCTTCACAAATCCACCTGAACAATACATTTAACCCCTTAACTCTTTACCTCCTGAAAGCCTCTCGGCCTTCTAAGGCTACGTCCACACAAGCCTGGATAGATTTGAAAACACTCCGCGTCCACACTATTGTTTTCAGTCGTTTTCAGAGTTGTGCGTTCACATTGAAACGGCCGAAGACACTTACGTTCCAGTCCTGCGCATGCGTGATAGTGGTGTGTGGATCGATATTGAAATATCGATTCTTCCTATGCCAGTCATTTATGTTCTAGAATCTATTCTCATTTTTTATTTCTATAGGATTATTCTGCATCATTAAGCTATAAGAACAAGTAATGTAATCATTATGACGCTATATTATTATATTATTATATTATTATTACAATTACATAATGCAATTTATATATTGTATTATTAAATACAATGAAACATGAAGTTTTTGTACAGAGTATCGGTATCGGATCAGTATCGTCGATACCACCCTGAATTTTACTTGGTATCGGATCGGAAAGGAAATCAGTGGTATCGCAGATTCCTAATGTGTGAAACGCCAGAAGATTCGACCTGCCTCATTTCTGTCTGCCGCTTATTTACTTTCCGGCTCTTTGAAGCGTCGCGGCAGAATGTCGAGGAAAAGCAGCGAGTTTTTAAAATGGACTAATAATGAGGTGGAGTTGTTGCTGCGAGTAACACGAAAGTACAAAGTTGCAAAAGCGAGTGAGAATTAAAGAATTTGAAGAAAAGCTATCTGGAGCATGTACAGACTGATATTAATCTTTAATAGGGCTAAACAACTGCTGTATAACGCCCTCTGCTATCTTAGTTTAATTGGTCACATGACTGCATCATGTTTTAGAAAGTCTGCGTTTTTTCTGTCCACACTGCAACGCAAAAGCACCGTTTCCAAATGTATGCGTTTTCAAGAGCGTTTTCAAAACGCTGCGTTTTCCATCAGCCAAAACACCGTCTCAGTGTGGACGGGAGGCCAAAACAGAGAGAAAACCCAGAAACTATACTAATGGACTAAAACTACATCTTTGATGTATGCTGTGGTGTCAGAGCTCGTCTTTAAGGGTACAGGGGAGGTCATCAAATATCGTCTGTATGTTGAAAACAGTTAAACCTTTAATTCCTTTAGTGGGGAAAAACACCATACAGCTCCTTTAATCTGTGACCTCAGTGAATGCTGATAGATTTAAGGTCTCAGTCAATGCTTTCATGTTGTATTCAATGTAATCGTAACTGTAAATTATGATGGGGGAGGCTTTAGGGCAGGGCTACCGTAGGATGTATTATTTATTTGCTCAGTCCTATCCTTGTTTTGCTCTGTTCAGCTTTAAAACGGCAAGTTATCGACAGATGAAATGTTCTGCCTGAAGCTTTAAGATTTCAGTTTTATTTATATCGTCAGCTCACAACAACAGTCGCCTCAAGGCTTTTTATATTGTAGGGTGAAGAGACTACAATATTAGAGAGAATAGAAAACCCCAACAATCAGGGGAGACTCTGAGCAAGCAATTGGCAACAATAGGAAGGAAAAACTCCCTTTTAACAGGAAGAAACCTCTAATGGGACATCATGGGAGAGAGCTGAAATTGCTAATTGAATCATTTAATCATTAATCATGATAAAATGCAAAAGTATAAACACAAAGAGAGAGAAAAGAGGTGAGTAAAGAAGCACTCAGTAGCTCGTTGGAAGTCCCCTAGCTTCCTAAGCCTGTTGCAGTATAACTAAGGGATGGTTCAGGGTCACCTGATGCAGTCTTAACTATATCTGCTATCAAAGAGGATCATTTTAAGTCTAATCTTGTAAGAGAGTGTTGTTTCCTAAATCCAAACTGGGAGCCCGTTTCATTTTTTTTTTTTTAAAGAGAGAAAAAAAGGACCTGATATCTGAAGTCTCTGCTTACTATTCTACTTTAAAAACCTCTATGCACGCCGTCTATCCCTGCAGTGCACAAGTCCCGGTAATTGCAACGGGTTAAGACTTCTTTTCGCCACACTGACACGTGTCTGGCCTTAACAGAAAGTAGCCCAGCCCAAATCGACTTACTTATTTTTCCTCCTGCAAGAACACTTTAATGATAATCACTACTTAGTGTATTTTTTTTAAATCCTCTTGCCCTAATCTGTAGAGATATCTACTGTACAAGATGTTGTGGGATTTGAAGCTTGCAGAGGCAGCATGAAGGGAAACTTGGACATAAGAAGGCAGCACTTAATGGAATTTGGGTCATGGACTGGTGCAGCTGTTTTCAGCCATCGTCTGAACTGAAATCACCAAAACGGAAAGATTTCAGCAGAACTTCCACAGTGGAGTCAGCGTTACTTCATTGGGTCATTCTAATAGGCAGGTTCTTCATCACTTTACTTCACATTAGCTCAAGTCCAGATCTTCTGCTTAGAAAGTATCCCGTGCACCCCTGATCCTTATCACAGTGCGTAGCTCAGCATTGCTCACTGCTTCAAGTATTTGTCATAATTTAGTCCAAATAGCTTAGTGTGCTGTAAATGGATTTCAGTATGACATAAACATTTGAGTAGACAGTTACCGACACGGTAAGCGGGGGAAGTTAAAGGTGATGAGCTCACTAAACCTGTCCAATGCAGACAGTGGCCTCAAGCTGCACCAGTTGTTGAAAACAATATTATTTTCCCAGCTTTCTTTCACAACTCAATTTTGTTCATATTTTCCTGCAGGTGGTGTTTCATGACGTCGTGGCTCTGACTCAGAAGCTCTTCCCTATTGTGGAAGCCATGCAGAAGCATTTCAGCGCTGGCTCCGGAGCCTATTACAGCGACGCCATCTTCTTTCTGTCCGTAGCTATGCATCACATCATGCCTGAAAGTAAGACGTGGAACATTTTATCCCATTTAGTCCCTTTAGTTCTTATCCTATCTGACAGCAACCGTCGCCTCAGTTATTACTCTGTTCCTTTGCTTGAGGAGAGAAATGTACATAACAGATCATGTTTCACATATAGAGCTACAAGCTGTTGTTGACGGGTGACGATATGTCAGAAAAGTCTGCGTTAGTTCTCTGGCGTACCGAGCTTTAAATAAACTCAGTCACTCACTTCTTTAATTTGCTGGTGCGCAGCTGGAAAAAAGCAGGTTGGGCAGGTATCTCACATGCACGTGGCATGCTGCAGAGGCCCTGGGGAGTGAGGAAGGAAGGATGTGCTCTGTCATTACTGTCCATACCGGTGCCTCCTGTGTGGGTGCTGACTGTGGGCAGAGATCTCTTCTGTTGTGCACTGTTGTGGATCACTTCAATGGATGTGCAGCATGGGGCATGCAATAGAGATCAACAATAGAGAACAGCTTACATTTTTCAAATGTTTTCAACGTTACTCCGTATTCCAGTTTCAATTTATCCTAACATGAACAAGAGGGATGAAGCTGAAGCGTGTTCAGCTTGATGGTTGGTGATGGCAGTTGTTCAGGTGAAAGCTTGAAGAGATGAGCCTTTAAGTAATTTTAAGAGACGTCATTCATCCAACTGTCTAATTGTTAGACTGCTCAAACTTTAAAGCGAATAATTCAAATAACAAATAAAATCTCGCTGGAGATCGTGTCCTTAAAGCGCTTATTGATCAACCATGTGTTGCACGTCTGCTCTGTGTGCCCACGTGGTCACACATTTCTATTTAAAGAATGCTTTTATCTAGAAAGGGCATAATGTGGTAGTTTTGGGACAGGTGGGGGTGAGAGTATGTGATGCACAAAGCTACAGCAGGGTTGTTTTCTAGGCACCAGTCTTTGATGTAACTGTTTCTCTCATCACTGCGTGAGATAAGCAGCAGACAAAGAAGCTTCTGATTAGTGGCACAAGTGTGAAGGATGGACGTTTTGTCAGATTTGTTGCTGTTTTCAAAAGAGAATTCATGGAGGAAATTGTCAGCACTGTTACTCTTTCCTGTACACAGTCTGAATATGAAAATGTTTCATCAGCGCATATGAGAAATGCAAAATGTATTTGAGGTCCTTATGTTAATTTTTATTAATTTAGGTACAGGTTACGCCACACTGATGCTACAGTAGAGTAGCATAACATAAAGAATTCATGAGGACATCAAAACCATGTAAGTGTAGCATGCAGGTCATTAAATGTCTTGAAAACAGATCTATGTATTGTCTGTCCTTTGAGAATAGGCGAGAAATAAAATTGCACAATGGAAAGCTGTTAATTAATGACAAGGTTCCTAAACACTTGTTCTGTTTAGAGGAAAGGTGTTACGTGCTTTTGTGTCCCCTCGAGAGGTAAACGTGCTGCTACTTGAGTCTCTGCTGCGACCTCGTCTTTTGTTTTCCACACAGGGTTAAAGTGACACTGTTAATGTGCGAACCGCTTTGAAAAAGTGACAAAGATGATAACTGAATCCCAGGAAGAAGCAGCGGTTTTGTTGAAAACTGTGATTTTGAGTCACCTCTCATTTGCTTATATTTTGCTTCCAAGATGCCAGATGTCATTTTTTTCAAGTGGTCTTGAGAGATGGTTTTCCAGTTTTTCTTTGTTTTAGGCAGCAGCCTATTGCAAGAACACATCTTTTCCTCCCCATTTCTTTAGTTGAATCTATAACAATTGAAAACGATAACACAGTTTGACAGGCTTAAACTCCCAACGAGCTCTCAGCCAAAAATCTGGCACATCTCAGCGTGTTGTACAATGTGTCCTTAAAAAATTTGAGGAAACTGGACAAGAGGAGAATAAAAGAAGCGGCAAGCCGTTTGCAAGCCTAAAATACTGTCACTTAGACTTAATGAAGTTTGTGAATGCAGTACAGCTGCTTTCTGTTGTCCTGTTTTGCCATTTTATTTTTACTGTTTGTGACTGTAGGACCTCGTTGTTTGGAGTAAACCGTTTATATTGAATCAGGAAACGTACTTTTGGTGGCATTTTCTAGTGAATCTTGGTAAAAGCAGAAAACAGCGTCTCATATGAATAGACTAACATCAAGGCTATTATTACAGCTTAATGAGGTTGACCCACTTTCTTACTTTAAAAATAAATAAATATATATCGTGTTAGGTAACAGTGTCTCTGTTGTTTTGTTGCTGTGCCTGAGTTTGACCAGATCTGACCAGAGCCTCAGGCAGGCTCTAAGCCACACTAATGACATTATTCCTGCAGTAAATAAGTAAAAGCAGCACCCACACACCTGGCCCAGATTGACCTCAACTCACATATTTTCCACATAACAATATTTTTTTGTTTAACTGTTTGGGGGAAAAAAGAGTTTTGTATTTTGATCACACGGGGATGGATTCTTTTCAAAGGATTATTTATGTAGAGAAAATTAAATTGAAATAAACAAACAATGTAGAAGTTTCCTACTATTTTTATATGAGTGCGTTTAATTTATGTTTCATATCTTAGACATAAGGATACCGTTAAAGATGCCTTCAGTCTGTTTGGAGATTAGTACATACAAGTTTAAGAAATTAATTAATTTAATAATTAAGAGAGGTTTTCAACAAAAATACAACAAATCTCGTCCTCATCTCTAAATCAAACTAAGGAAATGCACATAAAAGTTTCATTGAAGTTTTGACTTATGTGTACACTGACCGCTTTCAAACGTGAAGTACCCTATTTTTGGGGCTATAAGGTGAACTTAAAATCCTGTAATTTTCTCCAAAATCGACAGTGTGCCTTATGTATGAATTCTGGTTGTGCTTACTGACCTCGAAACGATTTTATGTGCACGGTGCTCGAGAATCTGTCAAATGTTTTAGTGCGACTTTGCTAAGCTATTAAGTCGCACCGCTTGATGGATTGTCGGAGCGTTACGGCTATCGTAGGCGGAGTGATACGTACTGCGCTTCAACATAATATTACCGTATTGTGTGTGTATAACCTCTTTTTAAGTTTTGTGGATGTTATACATGGTTATGCTGAGGATATGTCGGCCAGTTTCCACTGGAAATGCCTTTTGGTTAAACTGTCAGCGAGGAATTTGCATTTGCACTGTTAAATGTTTATATAACTTTAATGCACATAAAGAACAGCTGCTTGTTTAAGTGAAAATACATTGATGGGGGGTTTGCACTAATAAAGTTGTGAAGTTGTAAAGTATTTTGTCTAGTGTCAATTATATCGTCAGTTATATCGTTATCGCAAATTTTCAAATGTATATCGTGATAAATAGTTTTGGTCATATCGCCCTGCTCTAGATAATAATATACGATAATAATATAAAGACGTACAGCAATGTAGGAGCTGCAACAGGGTTCTTTGTGTTATCATTACTCAAAAATGTAAAAAGATAAATGTTGATTTGAAAACCTGCAGCTCCACTTTCACCTTCAGAGGACTTTGTGTTGAGTTATTGGTCCAACATCAAACCCACCACATTACAATGTTGTAGGAACTGAAGGCCTTCTTCCTGTTACACTCACGCTCGTTAAGCCATGTTAGTACAAACAAACAGCGCTGACCACGCAGAGATTACGCTTCCTAGCCCCTCTGTGTTGCCACAGCACATTCGGGCATTGTGATGTGCAGCTTCCTTGTTTGGAGAGCACAGAAAACAGGTTGCTGCCGCACTGCTGAGCCATCGTCTTTTCACGTCACTTGTTTTAACAGACAGAAGCACTTAAATATGTTTATGTGTGACCTAGCTGAGTTTTTCTAGTGACTTAGGCAACATTAAATAAATAAGGTCACTGTCTTTCATTGTACGACCGCATTAGTAAGACTGAGGAGACATTTAATCACCAGACATTTAAAAACGAGAATGATGTTCTGAAGTGTCCTGGATCTCAGAAAGTCGCCACATCTTTTCAGTCCATCAGCTTTAGATGTTGTTAACTCGACAGCCTGTAGGTGTTCATCGTTGACTTTACATCCGAAGTTGACACAAGTTTTCATCAGTTCATAATAACGTTGTGAGCACAGTGCCTCATTCCTGAGCATTTCCCATCCTTTCATCACTATGCCAACCAGAATAATATAGGAAGCTGAAACAATGAACTGATGAGGGCTCGAATATCCTGGTTACTGTTATTACAGGTTCTTTCCCAGACCACAAGATGCAGTGTTAAGCATTTACTCTGCATGCTACGCCACTGTGTTCACGTTTCGTCATATTCCTCTCCACATTTTCTTCTCGTGCATGTTTCTCATTTCTAGGTCAGTGCTAACATTGCACAGAGAGAGGCCAAACGAGCCACCTCGGAGCAAAACCTCTGTCAGTGTCTGCTCTTATTTCCTCTAACTCGGTATTCCTGGAAGGGCCAGTTCTCTCACTAAATGTTGTTATCCAAGCTGAATGATGTGCTAGTGGTCACGGAAATGGATCCTTCAGGGAGATTTTACTCAGAAATACATTTTCTTGGGATCATTTTTAAAATAGACAATCTATTTCCATTATCTGTTCAACTTAGTCTCTGCATTTGTCCTCTGTGTTTCCATTTCAGGTCTGACGCGCATAGTGCAGCTTGACTTGGACCTGAAGTACAGGACAAACATCAGGGACCTTTTTCAGGAGTTTCACCGGTTTCCTCCAGGAGCAGTTATAGGGATCACCAGAGAGATGCAGCCAGTATACAGGTAAGCAGTGCAGACCTACAGAGCACCTACTAGGGAAATCTGAACCTGCCAGTCGTTGGAAGCTTCAGACTGACACCAGTCTGCTGCATCTTGACATGCACATGAATAAAAGTGAGGCTCTCTGCTTTTAACTTCGGCGCTCTTGCTTTCAAGTGTTCGCTCAATACGTCAGTATAATTTTCGGCTCAGGCTAGATCAAAGGCTACCATCTGTCATGAGGAGAGACTCGACTGCTGGGCTTTGACTTTTGGCGAGAAAGCATCCTCACTTTGTTTTTAAATTGTGCCAAAGTAAAATTCAGGTGTCAGTCTGACAAAAACAAATTACACCCTCTTTCAATTCAAAGGTTTTATATGTCTGGATGTAATAAAGAAATTCATCTGTTCCTAGCAGGTCTAAAAATGTGACAACTACAGCCTCAGATTAACAGTGGCACACAGCATATACTATATTGTGTCAGTATGTATTTAACAAAGAGCATATAAGAAGGTCATAAACGGCTAAGTGCACTTGATTAATTGAGAAGTTTTGTCAGTTTTCTGGTCTGGAGCGTTCAGGTGTGTCTTTAACACAGTGCCAGTGAGGAAAGACGTCAGCAGTGATGTTAGAGAAGCAATTGTTGCTGCTCATCAATCTGGGAAGGGTCATAAGGCCAGTTCCAAACAATTCGTCCATTATTCTACAGCGAGAATGACTATTCACAAGTGCAAAGCATTTAACACTCCTTCCCAGGAGTGGACGTGCCAGCAAATTCACCCCGAGGTGAGACCACGATGCTCATGAAACTGCAAAAATCCCAGAGCTGCATCTCAGACTCTACAGGCCTCATTCAACATGTTAGATTAGTGTGGCTTGTTTGGATGGGTTGCAAAAGGAAAGCTTCTTCTTGCTAAAATGGGGCGACCGTGGCTCAGGGGGTTGGAAAGCGCATCTGTAACCGGAAGGTCGCCGGTTCGATAGTGGCATTGCAAAGCGTTTTGGGTGCCTTGAAAAGCGCTATATAAATCCAATCCATTATTATTATTATTATTATAAAAACAACACGGCAGCACGGCGTAGGTTTGCAAAGCTGCATCTAAATGGACCACAAGACATCTGGAATAATGTCGTTTGGATAGATGAGACTGTGAGAGGTCCCGGGTTCGAATCCCGGGCCGCACAGCTGTGACAAAAACCCAGAGATGCATAGGAATGTTCAAAACTATTTTATTATTTTTTTATTTCATGCTAAGTTGAACCTGGCTGAAATAGTGTGTTGGGACCAAAAGAGAGCAGCGCATAAACAAATGCAGGTAAACCTCAATGAACTGAAAGGGCACCGTCAAGAGGAGTGGACCAAAACTCTTCAACAATAATGTGAGACACTGATAAAGTCATACAGAAAGCAACGAGACCCCAAACTTCCTCAGTTGTCGGAGGTGGTACAGGCGCTGCCTAGCCTTTTCGGACTGGACCTGAATGTGGGCAGACCATGTCAGATCTGAGGAGATGTGGACACATATGGATACATATCAATAATGTCTGTTTTATATGTGTTTTGGTCACCAGTACCACTTTCAACCGATAGTGTGACATTAACATGATTTAATCCACTGGCCTGACAAAAAGTAAGGGAAAGGGAGAGAAATAGAAAGTAGAGAGAGAAGACAGGAAGCAGGAAGTTCATCTTCATCTGCTAATTCTTCTGTCAAATGAAGTATAAAGTCCCTGAAGGTGACAAGCAACCCTTGAATTGATCGGGATCGTGCATACATACGTTTGTAAGTGGTGTAAGTGTACACACCACATTTTTAATGAAATATTAATAACAGGTTGAAACGCTGTACAAATCTCAGTCGCTCTTGTTGACCCCAGATGGATTTCAGCCTTTTTGCGCCTCACATGCATGCTCACAGTTGGTGTCTCTCACAGTTGCTAAGTGAGAAGGAACATCAGAGGTCTGGTGTCCAGACTGATTCACAGGAACCTAAACGCTGTGTGTCTTTCTCAGATACAAGCACAAATGAAAAAGTTGCAATGCAGCCTGTAACAGGAAATTAAGCAGCCTTTCTGATTGTAGTTTCAGGATTTTCATGCGAAATGAAACGCTGGGATTGTGAAATATCGACATGAGGCGAAATTCCTGCAGAATCTGAAATTAATTTGAATTTGATTTATGAAACTGCATCCTTTTCAGGGTTTTGGAAAAAGACATCTCTGTTATGTGTTTGGCAGCTATGGAAGAAATTAACTTCATTTACTGGAGACAAACACAGTTTAAGGGGAAATGCTTTGAGGGGAAATGAGGCTCTCATATCTGCAGAGACTCATATTTCACCTCTGTCGTGCCAGCATCATCCTAATGCGCTTAACTTATTTGCATCGTTTCCAAGTAGTGTTGCTAGTTTATTATTTTCATATTGTCATCTGGACTTGAAACTTGAACCTTGAGCACTTGTTGCATATCTGGTATTTATTAAGGGTGTATTGGACTTTACCTCAGCTGAACCAATCAGACCGGCTACCCAGGTCTTAACTATACCTCGATTTAAAGGTTCACGTTAATAGATTTGTTTCTAGAAGCATGTTTTGCCATTCAGCAAGGCTTGGTACTAATATGTCATTTATCTTTTCTCCAACTATGAAGAAAAGACAAATTCCCCAACACTGAAATCTGAAAACTAAACCCACTGATTGACAGTCCAATGAGATACACAAGAAACGGCAGGTGAACTGAAGATAAATAACACAGTTCATAAATAATTGTTGTCACTTCACAGCGAAGATTCAGAAAATGATTTAAAAAACAAATACAAGAAAAATCTTTGTGGAGAAGGAAAAAGAAGCGTTTTTCACTGGGAATAAAACAATCAGTCAAACCAGCAGGGGTCCTTTTCAAAGCACCCGTATACAGAAATTCAAATGGAAATTTTTGGAGAGTTTTTACAGTGAAAAGGGCTCCACATGTGGTAACAGGCCTTTACTACGTTAGTCAAATGGTTTAGAGGTCTGGCGGACTGTCCCTAAATACTCTGTCCGATCTAAAATCTGGTTTGTTGTAAAGTTTATGAGATGATGTCAGTGTTACAAGCTGTGTTGTCAAACCTGCTGATAGAGGAATGTCCTAGATTGTGACTTTACACTTGCTCCGATTTATAAGTCAGATTTATAACTGGCTTAAAATGAGATTCTGCAAGTGGCATAACTATAAGGTCAGACTTAGAAGGCCAAGTTATGACAACTATGGTGAAAATGTTGTTTTGAGTCTCTCATGCCAGAATAATAATTGAGGATTTGGCAGGAACCACGATGAGTCACCTGTTAAGAAGTGCTCTCGTCCTGCAATTCATATTTATCTCCTGTCTCTCTGTCAGAACTGCCAGGAGTAAACAAACTGTTCATCACTCACACTCAGAATCCAGCAACACGCTAGTTTGATTCATACAGTACAAAACTCTGAGTGCCCTCGTTAGGCAGTGGAAATTTATTAAATCCTCTTGGACATGAGGATCCAGCGCTCCGATGTGGCGCTCCAGATTGAATCTCTTTCCTCCCGTCATCCTCGGCTCTGCAAACATGTTTTTAAAACACTGCCTTAAATGCTCATTATATTTTATTAACATACAAAGGCGTTAAAATCAGCAGATGTGGTAACAGATGTCTGGTCAGGTTCTCTCAGTCTTTTCAGCATTCCTTTATTGGCTTTCTTACCGTTGCATTTCTGAACTTTATGAATGAAAGGCTCATAGGTGCGTCTATTCGAAACCTTGGATGAGTTTGAATCTCAGTGACCTCGACCTCAAGGTCAGAGTACGTTTTCTGAAACTGTTGTGAATGCAATAACTTGAGAACAAACCAACATAGTAAGTGTGTCTGCTGGGAGGGTGATGGGTAGCTGCATTGCCATACTTATGATGGGTTGCCAGTATTTAACTTACTCACTGGTGTCTGCACCCACAGAAGTGAAACTGAGCTGCACGCTAATAAATCTTAAAAATGGTTACTTTTATCAAATCAAATCAAATCAAATCACTTTTATTGTCACATCACATGTGCAGGTACATTGGTACAGCACATGTGAGTGAAATTCTTGTGTGCGAGCTTCACAAGCAACAGAGTTGTGCAAAATACAATAATGTAAACAAGCAAAATACAAGAATGGCTACATCTGAAACTAATAAATATATGTACAATATATAATAGTATATGCATTTCTGGATGTGTATACTAAATATTTTTCTACGGTGTGTGTGTGTGTGTGTACACATATTTTACAAATTAAATAGAGTAAACAATAAATAAAATATATAAAAATATACAGAGTTGAGACATGTGGACAAGAGAAAATCAGTGCATTACTGTACAGTATGAGGAAAACTGAAAGTTCGCATAGGAAGCTGAGGCATTGACGAAATACTAGCTGTTGCATAGCATAATGAGCAAGCAAGCCTATAATTACTTTGTTTCAGAAAGGTACAAGCCTTGTGCTAATCACTGCTGCTGCTGCACCACTGCATATTACTATCAAACTGACCAATCACAGTTGTTGAGGTCTGTGTTTCTGCAAAGGGTAATTATATTTCTGTGAAGATTCACATCAAGCTCTGTACACTGACTTAGTCATTGATGTGTGTGTGTGTGTGTGTGTGTGTGTGTGTGTGTGTGTGTGTGTTTACACACAGGTAAACAAGGGCCCCGATTTTCAGGCTCTTTGTTCCTCAGCTGATTTTTTTTTTCCAGTTTTCTCCAAGATAATAAAACAAACACACCAGGTCCGTTTAGACTACTTCACTGTTTTCCACCCCAGCGCAGCATCAAAACAGGACGTCACTGTGTGTGTGCTTGTGTGTTTGTGTCGATGTCTGTGTGTGTGAGATAGTGAGACTCAATGAGCCAAGTCCAGGTGGGAAGTTTCATGCAGGAGCAGCTGCTATACTGGTCCAAACACGGGCAGGTGGTTTCCTGTGGGCTCTTGAAGACTGTGTGCTAATAAAACAATTAATCAAAAAGTGTTTAATTTTAGAAAGAAGCCAAATAAGGATAACAAGTCACAGGTTTGCTTTCTTTGCACTATTTTTAAACCCTTCACTAGGGTGGCTGTAGACAGGAGGTAGGGCAGGTCACCTACTGATCGGAAGGTTGGTGGTTCGGTTCCTGGCTCCTCCAGTCTGCATGTCAAGTATCCTTGGGCAAGATACTAACTCCAACTTGCTCTCCGATGCATCCATCGGAGTATGAATGTGTATGAATGTCGTTAGAAAGCACTAAGTGTAAATAAAGTGCTTGTGAGAATGGGTGTGATTGGGTGAATGAGGCATGTTGTATAGAGCGCTTTGAGTACTCCGTGAGAGTAGAAAAGCGCTATATAAGAATCAGTCCATTTACCAATTTTTTTCCAGCAATTTCTCAGGCTTTTCTTTAGACATGGCTTACACATCGTACACAGAGTGCTTGTGTATGATAAAGTACAGGAAATCTTGTCAACGTGAAGTTACAGATTAAGATTTCAAGTGCACGTGATATTGAAGGCGACAAGTGTGATATTAATATCGTCTTCTCTGCAGTGCCTGTGCATTAATCTTATCACTAACCCCTAATAACTCACGCCAACCAAAGTTAAATTCCTCTGTAGCGAATGCGTTTCTACGGCCACATTTATATGTTGTTTGGAATGCTTTGTTTGCTCTCAGGATTTGATTGATGCTTGCTTGTCATGTGTGGTGGAGAAGTGCCATCAGTGGAAAAGCAGTGTTTGTGTGTGCATGCTAATCAGTAAATCTGGTGTCTCTGTTCTTCCCAGTGGTTTACCAACACTGGGAATCCCCACTAATGTCCTCCTGTGGGCCTGGACAGGCTTATTCAGCAGCAGAATACCAAGAAATCGTATATCAACTTAAGTTTTTCCACATTAAGCTCAGTGTCTGTCTCTGCACTGACATGCGACTCACTCACTCTTGCAGTTTGTGGGGGTTAAAAGCACATTCCCCGAGCTGCAATTGATTTTTCTCCTCTTTCCTTTTTAAAGGAAATTTGAAAGTGTTGACAGCGGTTAGCTTTTGCGTCACTGAAATTCTGGAGGATATTGCTGTAGCCACTGGCTGAGATCAATAGAAAATACAGAGAATCAAGTTTTTATTGTTTTTCTTTCTCTTTTTTTGGTTTGAGGATTTGTTTTTGTTCCAATCGCAGCGACAGGTCAGGACCAGTGTAATGTCAGGATGCATGATCCAAATTAAATAAGTAGCACTGACTCTGCACCCCAAAAGAAAGAAGCCTTTTATTTAATTACATTTAACCCAGACTGAGTGAACATTGGAGAAGCCTATCCGTTATCTGTTTGTTATCTCTGCATGCTGCCCTGTTAATTGGCCTCTAGCTAATGGACTTGATAATATTTAAATTTTTGAGACTTGCTATTAGCGAGGCAGAGTGCACGTCCTCTTTTCCTGTGCCGAGCAGAGAGAGGGCTCTCAGCTCACACTGCGTTTTGGTGCTAATGGACCGAGCATTATGCAGGAGAATACATCCTCCCACCAGCCACACTGAGAGCACATCCTGCCCCTGAAAAGTTCATTATTGGAAGAAATGCCCCGTGCCTCTTCCCTTGCAGCTGTCGTCGTAATGTTTTAAAACCCCGGAGACATGCTTACATAAGTGTCACAGCCACGGGCGCACACAATGAGCAGCGAGGAAATTGCTCTCTTTAAGCTTTGTGTTTTGAGGTGTGATGCATCCCACATGTTTCCCCTTTTTGCTGTAAGATGATACCGAATGCTTAATATGAAATAATGACTAATGTAGCACGGACACTGAGACACTTTGTCATTGATCTTAATAAAATTAGATTTTGCATCTGGCGGTCAGCATCATCATCAAGAACAGCGAGTCTACCATGATGCCTTCATTCAGTCAACAGAATTGCCAAACGTTGTTTAACATGACGGTGTTAAATGACTTCAATCATGCTTTTTAATGACTCTATTCTAAAATTAAGCTCTTTATCATCTCTTCTATTAAAGCGTCTCTTTTGCATCCATCCTGGAATTTTAATGTGTTTTTGTGTATCCCAACTACAGACGAAAAGGGCCGGACTTTTCATTTGCACAGCCCAGACTCCCTTCTGTCGGTTAGCACATTTTTTGCAGTTATCAGAAACCAGGCTGTTTCATATTCTGAAGAAGCAGAAGCATGCATTTGGAGGGGATGGCAGCACAGACTGCCCTTGTCACCAGCTACTGCTTTTCATTCTTTCACAAGTGAGACAGACACTTGATTTGAAAGGTTGGCAGTGAAAATTCAAGGCAGGAGAGGACGGAGGTGTGAAGAGTATGAGCCCTAATCTGAGCTAGTGAGCTTATTTGCTCACTTTGAGTGAATGTGGTGTGAGTGTGCTGGTACAAAGCCAGAGAAAGTCTTTGTGTCACAGCATGGAGAGCCATTCTCTATTATTTGCTCAGTTTTCTAACCTTCTCCAAACGTAGAGCGGAACGTTTCATTAAAGTTTAAAGGGCTTTTCTTGGGAATATGCCTTGCCAGTGCCCAGTTAGACTCCATTAACATTGCGTATCATAGATTCTAAAAGGTGCTTGCATGCTTAAAAATATTCCTCAGAGATTTTTTTTTCTCCCACGTTGACATGATTGTATCGCACAGTTGCTGCAGATTGGTTGGCTACACGTCCATGATGCGAATTTCCTGTTCCCCCACATCCCAAAGGTACCCTGCTGGACTGAGATCTGGTGACTGTAGAGGTCATTTGAGTGCAGTGAACTCACTGTCACGTTCAAGAAACCAGTTTGAGATGTTTTGTGACATGTGGCACGTTATTCTGCTGGAAGCAGCCATCAAAAGATGCGTACGCCGCCACCACCGAATCGTTAACACAACGCAGAATGGATCTATGCTTTCATGGTGTTTGCCAGCTTCTGACCCTGCTGTCTACCCTCAGTTTCTTGTTCTTCGCTGACAGCTAAGAACAGGGAAATTTTGACTAATATTAGCTTCACATAAACTCTGGAATGCATTTTTGTCCAAAAAAAGAACGGGGTCCTGTTGCCTTATTTGTCATGTCTGTAACTAGTAAGATAGAAGTCATACATTACTGGCCATCATGATGCTGAAGAAAATGCAATTTATTGTTCTTAATATATTTTACTCAGTGCATGCTTACTTACTTACTCCCTCAGAGCAGCAAAACAGAAAAGTAAATGTTCCCTGACTTCACCATGTTTACTCTGGATGCATCTCAGTGCACGTACATCGTGCAGTGCACGTAGACACAGTGAATGTCTTTAAAATGATAAATACTCCACAGGGGCCCCAAGTCCCCAGTCACTAACCACCACACTCTATAAAACTGTGAGGATAAGCTACAGCTGCCAAATATAGGTCAGCAATAATACGAAAGTGTGACTCAGAATCTCCTGCTCCCACAAGATTTGATCAAACTGCACACACACAGAGAAAGACAAATGCATACTGTGTGTGATTTTTATTTATTCTTTTTCATTTTTTTGCCGCCCACATGCATTTATTTATCCAAAAAGTCAGCAGAGCAGAAATTAAATGAGTGGTTAATTTTGTTTTCTGTTTCTGCGTTACTATTTCATCTACTGTAGCTTTCCTCCTCTGTGGCCCAAACTAAGAATAAGCTGTATCTGTGTGTACGTGTGCACAAGCAAGCAAGTAAGAGCACATTTCCATTCATCCTCGTCTTCAGTTGGCACGAAACATCTTCGCACCAGCTGTCAGTACACAGAAGGAGCATTTTGTACTTTCTTGAAGCAAACACTTCATCCCCACCCCCACTCCCTAAAAATAAAAATGGTACAAGCAGCAGCATAAAAATCCTGATCTCCCTAAATTTGATAGGGACGCCTAAACCACAGCAATAGTTTTCCTGACAAATGCATGAGGGAAAGAAACAAAAGGTCATGACTACTTATGTTTCTTCTTCAAATGAAGTCATCAGTTTATTCATCAGTCTGAAAAAAGGCAACTTTCCCTTACCTCCAACCCTTCATATTCAACCTAGTGTTTTGACTGTTACACACATTTTGCCCAAATGCACTTCGACATGCAGACCCATCCTTATTCTGGCACCTCTTCTTTTTCCCTCAGGCACACTTTCTGGCAGTACCGGAAGGAGAACCCTCAGACCAGAGTCGGGGAACCACCTCCTGACGGCCTCCCGGGCTTCAACAGCGGTGTGATGTTGTTGGACCTAGGTGCTATGAGGTCCTCGGCTCTTTACAATAAGCTGTTGGAGCCCAGCAATGTGGCCAAACTAGCAGACCAGTATCGCTTTAGAGGCCACCTGGGTGATCAAGACTTCTTTACCATGATCGGAATGGAGCATCCTGAACTGTTTTACTCCTTGGCGTGTGGCTGGAACCGGCAGCTGTGCACCTGGTGGAGGGATCACGGATACGGAGACATATTTCAGTTGTATTATCGCTGCGATGGACCTGTCTATATCTATCATGGGAACTGTAACACCCCTATACCAGACGACTGAGGTTTACACTGGCTTGATACTACAACTGTTTTCATTTTATGGCAGTTCCCTTTTGTGACCGCAGTCAGATATCTTGCCCCCTGCTGGCCAAGGGGACCCCACCCCCCAACAAGATGTGGTGTTTGTGGAAGTTGTTTTAGCACAGGTCGCCATTATGAGTGAAAACAGCTCTGCATTACAGTCGTACAGAGTAGTGTATTAACAGGAGGTTGTTTTTTCCGGTACTACACACATGACATTATGATGTAATGTATACAGGTCCATGTGGGATTTGAGCCCATCACTGCAGAAGGATTTTACCGCTCTTTCATGTTCCGCAAATGCATAAACTTGTTTGCTAGTTTGGATGTGACTTAGACCCCAGCCACACAGGCGTACAGACTGGTGTGTGGCAACCAGCGGTCGTGAGGGAGCTGTGAAGGAGTTGTGAGTGGTTGCTTGAAAAATAATTGCTAAAGCACGAGTCACACAGGCTGGGAACCTTTGGGAAAACTGTATTCCTCTCCTGGTTGGCAAAAACCTTGGAATTGCTTTGGCTGGTAGCATATTGGCCTGAGCTGCAGTGACAACATGAAAGGTGCGCCACACTTTTCCAGATTTTACTGCAGCTCTGCTAGTAGTTAGCGAGTGTTTGCAGACAGCATCATGTAAGTACGGGCAACTGTGGAAATCTGCGAGCAACCAAAGCAATCACTGTGAGGTTTTTGGTGCGTTTCCTTCTATGAAACAGAGCTCACACAGCAAGAGCCAGCAACTTCCAGGAGTCAGCTGCCAACTCGTTGGGGAATATATGTTTCCCTAGCAACTGCATCCAATGTGGCAGACAGCTCTTGAGCAGTGCAATAATGATGTCACATGAGAAGCATCTTTTATTTCTGTGGAGAGAAAAAATTGCAGTGTTGACGTTTGATTTAGGTTTATTGTTTATATATTTACAGTTTCAGTTTATGTGTTTAACAAACTTAAAAACAAGAGAATCAAGTACACCAAGTAGTGTACAGTATTTAATGCAGTAACTCTATCTTTAGCACCATTATTACATCCATACAATATTGATTGTAAATAAGGTTAGCACGTTGTTAAAGCAGGCCATACAAAAGGAGTCATACGTTTTGTTCACGTCGAGTTTTCAGTGTCCCAAGTTCAGCCTACATCACACCGTAGCAGGTGAGGGCTAATCTCTGTCAATTACTTGTATTTTTTCTTTCTTGCAACCAGAGGGATCGCTCTTCGTGGACTTTGTGGGTCAGCCACAGCTCTTTTCAAACACGTCTTTACAGGTAGAAAAGCAGAAGTGAGTGGGTGGGGGGAGACAGCAGAGAGCTGGCCACAGGGATTGGAGAGATAACGATTAACAATGACGACACTGAAGGCTGTTGTTTGTGCCCCATGTTTGCAGTGTAGCCGAGGCCAAACAGACCCACTTCATTCAGACACGTTTCTGAAGGAGCGTTGCGGCCAAAAGCGTGATTGTGGATGCTGACCCACTTTTCAGTTTTCTTGCTGTGCTCAATGAAGTCCTGCTCAGATTCAAAGAAATGTCAACACTCGATATTAATCAGAAACTTAATCGCTTTATGTAGCACTGAAGCACGCTGCTGAGGAGAAAACGAACCGTGGGATAAGACTATAAAAAGAATGTCTTCAGTTCTCAACACCTTATAGCGTTTTCTGTTTTACTACTAACAGAGCCAGTGGCTTTACTGGTTACATGATGATTACATTAGTTTTACTGGGATTGCCACTATCGGTGTACATCACTATCAGTTTCAGTGCATTACAGTGTTTAAAATGACATAAAATGGTTGATATTGATAATCTATCAGAAAGCATGTACAATTTTTTTAAGTACAGTCATGTACCAGAAAGGATGGATTATTAAAGGGAAGGATGAAACCATACGTTCCAGCTTGGTCTTATGGACCTCTGCCAACAGCTGTATTGTAAGTGTCATACAATATATCCATGTGATGGTTTGTGTGTGATCTAAAAACGTGTATATCAGTTTCTTGTTGGTACTCTGCTAACACATACAAACCTATTTGTGTCATCATCTAAAAAAATGTTATATGTGTATCGTCTAGAGATTCACTCACACAATTTCTGATTCCAGGTTATTTTTGTTTGTTTGTTGCCAATTCTGATTTTCTTTCTAAGACCTACACCTGACAGATTATAGAAAAATTAAGTTTTCTTTAATGCACCAATTACAGTTTGGAGTTACAGGACATGTTACTGAAACAATTGAAAATAAAATGCTTTATTGATATAAACAGAACTAATGTCAGTTTCTTAGATCATTTTGCATATAAATTTACCAAATAACAGAACAGTGATCCTTTTTTATTTTTCACTCAACTCCACAACTTTCCTGTAACTGCTTTGGTCCTTTGCTCATACCGAGGCTCACACCAAGCTTGTGGCTAGCTCTGAGCTCTGGCTAGCTTTAGCTTTAGCCACGTTCCCTTCTTTTAAATGGTGATGTGAACGCTTTCATGGTTCTCCCCTACCTATTTGCTTTAGTGTCTTTACTCACAGTGGAGAGCCTCCACAGTAACGACATATTAACACATGTCTGCGAGTGTGCAAGCGACTGTTTGTCTGCACTGCTGTCCATGTGCTGAATATGCATGAAACAGACGGGGTCACTGGTCAGTTGATCGGTATTGTCAAGTGCTTATTCCTGTGTTACGTGCATCCATTGCCATGTCAGTTGTTTCTGTTGTGTCCTTCAAACACTCAGACTTTGTATAAAGCGTTTTAGCTCGTTTGGCTAAATGACCAATGCACTTATGCAATTGTGAGGCATCCATCATCTGTCTGTCCCTATTTGTGAGCCTCTTTGACATCTCGTTGGCTTTTAATTAGTCATTAGTTTGTGCAGATGCAGTCAAGCAGTGACAACAAAACTTAGACAGACAAGCAACTACACCCTGGTTAATCTGACTGAGATCATGGAGAGTGTGAATAATCTGGTGTGTATGGCATTGATGTACTAACACTATACTTACCAAAGTAACAGCTGTCTGTATTTTTCACTTTAATAACCCCTCGGCAGATGATGCTAATGTCTAAAGATCAAATTTGTCTTGACGGAACCAAATGAGAAAGCTTTACATGCCCGTTTCATTTAAAGTCTTCCTGTGACAGCAGCAGAGTTATCAAATCTTTAAAATGTTGTTACATTGTGTGTTTCTCTTTCCTAAATAAAATGTCTTGCTGTTATTAAAATTCTTTGTCCTTATTGTTTGTGTGCGCGTGGGAGGTAAAGCTGCCAACACTTCAGTAAAAGAGGATGCGTTTACTTACGTAAAGTATAAAAATGCATACAGATCAACCTCGCTTATGTTATAACACCAGTCCATGTCTGTGCTCTTGTTTATCTGCTGCAAGCCAGGCCTGACCCATTTCTCTCACTCAAATTTGCCATCACACCCAGTTAAAGCTCCATAAGCAGAATATTTGCAAGAATGTAATGATGTTATCTTTGTCATCAGTGACAGCCTTCATTCACTTGTCCTTGTAAACATCTGCAATCGTTTGAATGGTGTTTTCTTGTACAGCAGGGTGCAGCGTATTGTGGCCTGTTCCTGTTGTGTTAATGTGACAATCAGTGAGGAGATGACAGGCTCGTTTCTTTTCTGCTTTTCGTAGAGTTTAATCATGACAGCAGAGATCGCAGCGACAAACAAAAACACACTGACGGGCAAATTCAAAACCTACATTTAATTGAGAAAAGTAGAAAAAAAATCAGCATAGCTTACTCTGAAACAATATCTGCTCTCTTTCAGTTTGCTGTAGGCAACAGGTTCAGGTACACCATTTTAGTTTTTTGCTTTTCAAGCAGCCAGATGTTTTCAGTTGTAGCTGTCCATGCTACATGCGCTAATACACCTCTGTTTCACCTTTTCTGGGATGGTAACAAGATAGATTTTCTCATTTTGATTAAAACCACAGGACCAGTTTTCCTTGACACCTGTATCCAGCTCGAGCACAAAGAAGGACGCGGTGTTTGTGGACCTTTAGTGTTTATCTGTTGTTTTTATCTGCGCTTGATTTTTTTCCCTAAGCCTGCCGCTCACCTCTCGTCAGATGGGGAGCAGACAGCCGTCCCCCTTGAGCACTCATTTCGCCTCTTCTTCAGTCAATATTTCACCAGCACTTGATAGGCATAATTAAAAATTCAGGCAAACGCATGTGTGTAATTAAAATTGAACACTTAAACTGCTGGCTTATGGTGACAGCTGCTGTGGTAGAAAGAGAAAAGTAATTGAAATTCAGCAGACTTTGCTGACAGTCTGTCCAATTTGAACATTCAGACCATATCGAATCAAAGATATATTGCCTTTGCTGCTTCTGAAACACATTCAGCTGACAGAAGCTCCACGTAACCCGTGTGCAAATATGTGTACGTGGAGTGTTTTCACTTTAACCTGTGTGTGATTGTTTGTGTGTATGAGAGTGTAGACAGCACAACACACCAATTGGAAAAACAAATGTAGGCCAGTACCTTCCTGAGAGCTCCTCCACCTTGTCTCTCCCTCAGCTCTTTTCTCTCTAGTATCTCTCCCACCCATAGACCGGGCAGGCTGCCCACTAAAAAGTTGAATAAGCGGCCTTCATCCATCTGTACAGTTTGTTCTGCACTCATTGTTGCTTTACTCAGACTCCATAAATGTCTTTAGAACTCAATATTCACGATAAAAAAAAATTATTTTTAGTTTTTATTCTTTTACCTGAAACTAAAGGGAAAACACACCAGCCAGCCTGGAAGAGCATTGTATTGAAATAGATACAAAGTTGCATTATGTACATGCTGTGTATGTGTGCAATATTTAACTATTGGGGACTTTAGCACAACATTTAAAACCATCCTTGCTGCAAACTGATGAGCAAACTGACAGACCTGGGACTGCCTCACTCCATCTGCCTCTGGATAAAAACCTGATCACTCCCAGAGGGTGAGAGACGGCCACTACATCTCCTCACCTCTCAGTCTCAGCTCTGACTCCCCCACAGGGCTCTGTGAGGATCCCCCTACTCTTCACCCTCCCTACTTCCCATTGCATACTCGCCCAGTCCAGCAGCAGCAGCATCAAACTTGTGGATTACACCACCGTACTGGGGCTCATCTCTGGGGTGGATGAGTAACTGTCTGGTTGGTGTAAAAGGATTACAACTTGATCCTTAACACCACCGACACCAATGAGCTGATGATTAACAGGAGGAAGGAAATTGGAATTCGGTCCATTTTCATCAGTGGGGAATGTGTGGAAAGGGTGTCAAGCTTCTGGATCTGCGATGTGCACATCAAAGGGGACCTGACCTGGAGCACAGACAGAAAGCAGGCACAGCAGAGGCTTCACTTCCTGAGGATCTCCAGGAAGAACCAACACATCCAAAAACTGCTTGTGTCCTTTTACCATAGAGCATATTGACATACTGAAACGGTGTGTGGTTTAGCAGCTGCACAGTGGCAGAGTGGAAAATGCTGCAGATTGTCATCACCACTTCCCAGAAGACCATCAGATGCCCTCTCTCCTCTCTGCAGGAACTTTGCAGTCCCTGCTGCCTCAAAACAGCCCAGAGCATCCAACCCCAGACACCTGTTTGAACAGCCGCCCTCAGGCAAGGACAAAGAGATTAAAAAAATACTTTATCCAAAAGAAACAACTTCATTTACACTGCTCGAGCTGTGCAACTTTTTAACACAATGAATTATTTTATTGTTTCAGCTTAAATGTCTTTTATGTGTGATATGATGTGACACTTACATGCATATTTTATGGCCTTTTTAAAAAAAATACATTTACTTTCAATGGGGTTGGATGAATCAGACGTTTCCACTGAGATGGTTAAATCTGATTTCACTGTACATGTGAAATGACAATAAAGATGTAATTATGACACTTAACCTGTCAAATGTTCTGCTATGTCTAAAAACCAAGTTAAAATTCACTGCAAGCCAACAAGTCCAGATTATAAGACAATGTAGTGATGTTGAAAAAAGGTTTTTTTTCAATAGCATCTATCGCTTCATATTCAAAGCACAATCATGGTGAATACCTGTGTTCTAATTCATTTCACGTGTGGTTCAACAGCAGTTTGATGCACTGATGCTGTGTACGAGTTCCCACAACAGCACGTGTCTAACCTTGACATAGTCAGTCAATATGCATTAAAGTGTTTCATTCAGAGGACAGAGAAAAACAATTCAACAATTTCTAACAATAGTCAGTCCCAAGGTGAGTGTAATCAATGAAAAACATTAAGTGCAGCTGTCACGTGCACATGAATCCTATGGCTTTATCCAATTTGTCACCAAACACAGGCTTACTATTTTACACTGAACTAAGCCTAAAAGGCTTTAATACCAGTGACCTAATTTGTCAGCTTTAAACAAAGTAACCTAGATCAGCACCAACATTAAATGTGTTCGTCTGGATAAGTTTTATAAAGTTTAGGGTAGGTAGGTATTCCTGACAAACACACCAACAGTCAAATACCACCAGCTGGAAAATAAAAATATTGGGTGGAGTATCAGGAAACAGATTAAAGCTTCAGACAAGAACAATAGTGATAAAGGACAATGATTTGTATGCAAATGTTCGGGTCTTCTTTCCTGTCCTCCTTTCCCTCTCTATCCATTACTATTTTCCATCAGGCTCTGATCTTGGCACCCAAGTTTTTGCATATGCATAGCAGTACACAAATTAACATGCACTCACACACGGCACCGCCATCTGTGGCTTTTGGAGATTGCCTTGTTTTCAGCCTCTCAGTGTCACAACAGCTGTAACTTCTAAACAAGAGGGAAGATTATGATGACAGCAGAGGATCATTTCATGAATCACAAGCGATGAAACATCAGTGCAAATGGCACGACCTGAAATTGGGCCACGGACTGTCAGCGCTGTTGACTGAGGCTGATTAGATTAGCCAAACAACAGGTTTGAACTGTGCAGTTTTATAAAGTTTTATGCAGTAAGGTGATGAGCTATTATTCTATGTGACACTCACTGATGGAATAGATTTCCCAGGGGGGGAAAAGAAGGAGATAATGCCACGCAGAGACAGAGAAAGATGTGAGACAGGAGTTATTTCAAAACTTGTTAGACTGGAAATTTTAAGCATTCCTGTAATGCCCTTGTTCATTTTCCCCCTTTTGTTTCATCATCCTTTATTTACCCAGGTGAAAAGTCTCATTGGGATCAAACAGATACTGGTTGCAAAGCCTACACGATGTGTTGCTGTTTTTTTATATTGTGAAACATCCTGCAAAACAACTTCAAGTATACTACATTTATTGTGTTCAAAGGTTGCATGAAAATACCAGGTAGTTTTAGTGCAGGCCACACTGGTTTAATAAGTTTACAGTGATTAACTGGTGCAGAGGGACTGTGTTGTTCATGATCCGGGTTGAGTTGGGTGGTGGTGTTGCTTAGATTCACTCACTGAATTCTCACATGCATGATAGCTTGTGTAACATTAGCTTACATCGGGTTGAATTCAGTTGGATAAATCTACAAACGGTGAATCCAGAGCAGCAGCAGCACACAAAATCTACTAACTTATTTTTAAGTGATTCTTTTCCCTACATAGTGCCACTAGAACTGATCTTAGGGCTGAATCTCACTAGCTGAGGACATTCATTAAAATTAGAAATTTGAAATAAAGTTTGTATTCAATTGTATTAACAATAATTCAATATTATCTTTAAATGGCAGGTTATATTTGTACAGAAATACCTGGTAGAAGACACTATTTTTATACTATGAGTATGTTTCAGAGGCTGTACTAATTCACTTTGTGCTGGAGATCTGTTCCTGTTAAAAGTGAGTTCCTTCTTCCTGCTGTCACCATTGGGCCACTTGTAGGGGATTATCTGTTTGTTGCAGTTTTCTCTCTAACGTTGTTCATTCTTTACCTCACAAAATAAAGTTCTTTGAAGTAACCGTTGAACTGAATAATGAGGAGAACAGCAAACACACAAATATGTGTGTGTGTCTTTTTATATACACTGTATTGGCAAAAGCATTAACTGAATTCAGGTGTTCCAATCACTTCCAAGGCTGCAGGTGTATAAAATCAAGCACCCAGTCATGTGTAGAGTAGGTTGCTCTCGGGAGCTCAGTGAATTCCATTGTGGTACTGTGACATGATATCAAGTGGATTGTGCCAAGGGTAAAGTTTGGTGAAGGGGGGATTATGGTGTGGAGTTGAGTTTCAGGTGCTGGGCTCAGCCCCTTAATTCCAGTGAAAGGAACTCTTAATGCTTCAGCATACCAAGACACTTTGGATGATTTCATGTTCCCAACTTTGTGGGAACAGTTTTGGGATGGCCTCTTCCTGCTCCAACATGACTGCACACCAGCACACAAAGCAAGGTCCATAAAGACATAGATGAGCAAGTCTGGTGTAGAAGAACTTGACTGGCCTGCACAGAGTTCTGATCTCAACCTGAC